TCTGGAGAGTGAAAGTAAAACTATCAAAACTTACTTTCATCATATTAGCCAATTAATTTAGGAGGCCATGCCAGATTGAAGGGAAAAGGAAATGAACTTCACCCCCAGAATAGAGGGTATGTGTATCAGAGGAATGTGTATCGGAGGGTGTTTGAGAATAAAATTTGAAGACTATCACAAGTCCACCTTCTGGCCATAGTTCTCAGCCCACTCACATGCAAAAATATATTCATTCTGTATCCTAAAATTCTTACCCCCTTACAGCATAAGTTTAAGTTCAGTATCTTATTATCTAACTCAGGTACAGAAATGAATAAAATCCCTATTATTGTTCCTCAAGTGCAGATGCTGGGAGTGGCTTTTCTCAGCCAAGGTTTTCTAGGAAAGGAACACAACAGAAAAGGGGGTCAAGGAAACAGAAGGCACAAAACTAAAATTATTGTCAGTGTCCTCTACATTAAAGGCAGGGGATATTCTGCCAATCCTGGGAATAGTTTCCTTTCCATTGCTCTTCTTGCTTCTTGGCTCCTCCCTCTGGAATTTTGACTACAACCCCCAGTCATCATTTTTCCACCCCCCCCCCCAAAAAAATCACAACTAATGGGTTGGAAATATTTCCTCTAAATTCTGCTTTCAAATTGAACAATTTCTTCTTCAGTTCATTTGTATCTTCCTATACATCACCATAAGTTAATTGGTACCTTTGATATTCACTTGGAAATTTCCTGAGGAGATCTATAAGCTCATAAGGTTTATTTTCTATATTTTATGTTAAGACAAGTATTCTGTCACTGAAAAAATTATTACTCCAACATATAATAATTGCTCTGCTTTCCATCTCCTAGTGTTTGCTCATTATTCCTCAAAACTTGGTTAATAGCTCATTACTATTTTTCTCTTGCTTCTGTAACAAATTACCACAAATTTAATATGTGTAAGCAACACAATTTATTATTATATAGTTCTGTAGGTTAGAAGTCCAACACAGATCTCACTGGACTAAAATCAAAATGTTGGCTAAACTAATTCCTTTCTGGAGGCTCTAGGGAGAATCTGTTTCCCTGCTTTATCTAGCTTCTTAGAGACTGCGTGCATTCCTTGGCTTATGGTTCTTTGTCCATTTGCAAAGCCAGCAATGGTGAGTTAAAAGCTCCTTTTTCATCACTCTGACTTCCTCTTGTGTTATCTTTCTTCTAGTGTGTGTATTAGGCATAACTAAGTAATCCAGGATAATCTCTCCATTTCAAAATCCTTAACTAAATCACATCAACAAGAAGTTCCTTTACCATGTAAAATAGTATAATATTCAAGGTTCTGGGGATTTGAATGTGGACACTTGAAAGTAGTAATTATTGTGCCTACTATACTGTCTTTCCAGCATCCACTAACAGTTTGTCACTTAGCCCTTTCAACAGTCACTAAGGAAGCCCTTTGTTTTTCAGAGTGCAGAAGTGGGCCAAGGATTCTAGGCATATGGCTAATTGACCTAAAGCAGAGCAATCACATAAGTCTGCTGGTAATCTGTCACTGCATAAGGTTATAACTAAGGCAAAATGAGTGGTCAAGGGCTCAAGATATAGTGAGGCTGAAAACCTTTTCAGGTGCTTGAGATGTCCACTGATACACTATCCAATGATGAGATATTTATATATATCTACAATAATGCTGTATAATCAACAACTAAACCTCAGTGGCATAACAATAGGCATAACTTGCTCACATATCTAAAATCAGGTAGGGGTTAATTAGCTGACACTGCTGATCTTGGCAGGGAATCATTCGTATATCTGGGGGTTGGTTGGCAATCAGCCAATCTCAATAGGATTTAGCTAGGGTGATGGGGCAAGCTGGCTCTTCTATGGGACCTTATCCTCCAGTAGGCTAACAGCCATGCATGTTTATGACAACACCAGAAGTACAAGAGTAAGTAAAAATACAATAAATTTTTGGAAACACATATGGCCCAGATTCAGAGTCAAAGGGTACTTCAAAGGAACCTGAAAAAGCACCATGAATGGGAAAGAACAAAGAAGTACAGCAATTTTTTGCTGTCTATCACACCAAAGAAAAAAAAACAAAACAAGTACAGTCAATTCTTTGTTCTAACAGGTATTATCATCTTTTTTTTTGGAAAGAACTTGAGATTTTATTTGGCTTTAGTTGTGAATTAGCCTCTTTTGAAGTCTGTGGGTCATCTTTCTTATGCCAGCTGTGAGATGGGGGCAAATAAATGATAGGAATATTCTCTCTATTCTTTTCCTTCTCCCTTTCAAGTGTTATGTTTAGTTGGTTTTTAAATGGCAATAGACTTTTGGCTCAGGGAAGTCCAAACTTAGCTCAAAGAAATCCAAGTTTGGCCCTGCTTAAATCAATTGAAACATTCTTCTATTTCCAGGGCCAAGTTTTAAATGTGAAGAAATCTCTTTTAATTCCATTCTTGTAAAATAACTGCTAATAAGTAAGCCAGTTAGTTTATCCTGCTAAGATTATGGAGCTAGTAATGTTCAAATCTCATATAATCCACTGTTATGGTTTAGATGTCAGACAAAGCAAGATTCAGAGGAGAAATGATTGGGGTACAGCCTTAACCTTATCAGTGAATTAATCCCTGACAGGATTAACTGAGTGGTGACTGGAGGCAAGTGAAGTATGGCTGAAGGAAGTAGTTCACTGTGTGCATGGATATATATATATATATATATATATATATATATATATATATATATATTGTATCTGGAGAGTCTGTCTCTCTACTTCCTCAACATCATGTGTGCCATGTCACTCTGCCATACATGTGTCCCTCTGCCACACTTTTCCACCATGATATTCTCCCTTAACTGGAGCCCCGAGGAATGGAGCTGGCCTTCTACAGACTAAGACCTCTAAAACCATGAGTCCTCAAATAAACTTTTCCTTCTTTACAATTATTCTGGTTCAGTCTTTTAGTCGCAGCAGTGAAAAAGCTGACTATAACATCCACATTCCTTTTTATGAATAGCAAAATATAATGGTGATCTCACTAAACAAAACCAAGTCAGAAGTCCCAGACTATCTAGACCAAGTTTTGCCACTAACTGTATGACCTATTGATAATTTCCTTATCTCTTTAGTTCTCTGTTGCTCAGGAGCTGCTCTAAACCACAATATCCTAAATATTATATTTCCATAGATGTTAAATAGGCATTATGTATTCAAGAAAGCTTAAGATATATTAAATGAAGTAAAAGTACAGAATGCTTATTTCAGGACTTTTCAGAATCTTTAATATGCTGTGACTTTTGAATTTTCAAGAAATATAAAGTGCAGCAAACTAATTTTGCCAAGAACTGTTTTATTTTTATGAATTTTGCTTTTTTATAAAACATATTATATGTCCCAATGCATAAGCTTTGAGATATGTACTATTATTCCTAGTGTCTAATGCATATTAGTCAGAGCCCCAGAAAGAAACAGAAACTTCAAGTGAACAAAAGCATCTTCAAATGAAGTCACTTTATTGGAGCATAATAAAATGAGTATTTATAAAAGTATGAGTAGGGATGAGGGAAAATAACAAAGGATAATGATCTACCCTGAGACTTAGCAACAAGTGGAACCCGTTACTACCTTTAAATGAAAATGTGCAGAGGGAAGGAGCATGGATCTGAATTTAGAGAGGAAACTGGGATAATTGCTTGGGAAGGGAAAGGATATCTGATAAAATGGCATTCTGTAAAAGGACACAATCAACCCATGAGGACCTGACAAGAAAAGGGCAGGGAAATAAATGATTTTCCCTTCAACCTCTAATTTCCTGCTGATGCATATCATTTGTTGAATCAAACCAAAAGTCAGAGAACAAGGGAACATATTTCACAGGCAGGGAGCAGAATTGAAAAGAGTTAAGGGTAGATATAGAAGGGCAAACAAAAGCTATAGAGCATGGTAGGGTTCCATTCAAAAGCACCTACATCTGTGCTTAAGTCATCAAAACTCAGTCTCTCTTTATCTCTCCACCCTGTTTTCTTCTTCTGCCTTCATTCTAACACTGGATCTTTTCACCTGGTAGCATAAGTAGTCACTAGAAGCCCTAGCTTTAAATCATTCTTAGTTCACAATGCCAAATAAATAATAAGGGCTGGGAATATGGCACTTAATATTCTAGGTGCTGCTGAAAGCCCTTAATATACATTCATTCAGTTAATCCTCATAGTAATTCTATAAGATTGCCACAGATGAAAAAATTGACATATGGCTGTTACATAAAAAAGCAAAGTTGAAATTTAGATTCAGTTGTCTAGTTCTAGAATATGTGCATTTAGCCTTTTGAAAAGTAAATCCCCCCCCATCTATCTCTCAGTATCTTACTATTAAGGATTGAATCAACCCTTTTTGTTTGTTTGTCTGTTTTGACAGTGACTCACTAAGTTGCCCAGGCTGGCTTCAAACCTGGATCATCCAGCCTCAGACTCCACAGTAACTGGGATGATAGTCCTGCACCAATGTGCCTAGTTTAAACCCCACCTTCTACAGCATCCACAGGACTCATCAAAAAGGACTCCTTTACTATTGGGTCATGTGCTCAGCCCTGGATCAATCACTGCATTTTGGATGTGCTACAACACTCATCTTCCTAGGCCACATATCCCATCTCAATGGAGGACCATATGATTATTAACAATCTTCCCTTCAAAGAGATAACAGGCAGATGCAAGAGGCAGTAAATGTTCATCACAGACAGTGAAGACTTAGAGAAATAGCACTAGAAACAAACTAGAGCTCTAATTCTAGTTGTGTCTACATTTGTCACTAACCTCAAACAAATCAGTATCAATTTTTTTTCAGCATAAACATTCTGACCTCATCTAAATCCAAAGGTAAAAAAGTATAGGTGAAAAAGAAACAAAGACCTCTAATCAAATATTTAATTATAATTACATAGATAAAACATTTTATTAAAATATAGCAATAAAACTGAGATATGCCAAAATTGAGCAAAGAACTTTCAAAATAAGGTTTTTAAATCAACTTTATCTCTGAAAAATTGCTTCAGATACAATTTTGTTTTAAAAAATATGGGTGAAAATGGAATTTTTTTCAAGTGATATTGCAGCTATTATACACAATTATTTCCCAAGAATAAACAAAGCACAACTATAAGTTTATTAATTTTAGCAAAATAAAATGATAGGTGGCTTGTTATCAACTACTGGGTATGTTTTGCTGTTTCCTTATCTCCAGAGCACTTGGCATTCTTTATCAAGTGGTACATAAAAGAGTAGAAAAATAAAAGATTGTCATATTGTCCTTTGTATTTTTCTTTTAATACATCAGTATGGTAGTCTACTAGAAAGTAGTAAATGGCTTCAATTGTGGAAAGGAAAGTATTTGGCTTTCCTTTTTGATGGCGCCAAAAGCAAGTTTTTCTTGTTTTCAATTCAACTTGTAACAACCCTGCCATAAAAAAAGAAAAAAAAGGAGAAGAAAAAAAAAAGAAAAAATATAAATACTTTTAAACCAAGGGTGTGATACAATAATAATGAATTCTTTAATTATTTTAAGGACTTTAAAGAAATACATAGGTAAGTTGCTTCAATCCAAGTAAGATTATGATTTTAAATATACTGAGGTATATATAGAAGCAATATAAGACACAGAATAAAATCTTACCCATGAGTCATCCACCTTGTAGCAATGGAGGAAAAGTAGGTAACTTTTAATATACAAGTACTAGTCTTTTAAAACTTCAACCCACGACAAGACTAAATTTACCAGTGTTCAAAAGGGTTTCATTTCTCTGAAAAACTAAATTTAAAATGTCATTCTTGAAACTTAATGGTTCTTAATACTGATAAAAGTTTACTTTTAGATTGTCACTTTTAGGCTACATCTTCATGATCAGACTACATAGAGCTATTTCTTTAGATCCATCACATCCATGCTGCTTAGCCTCAATTACAGCCAGCTAGAATGACTTGGTCTTATACATTTAACGAGGCAATGATTAATGATGCAGAACTCTTTATCTTTTACAACTCAGATGTCAGCATGCAAACCCAAAATGCTTTCAGCTCATCAGATCAGTACTTAGGTTTGTGTTATATTCATTAGCCATATTTTTAGCATATTGTATTTCAAAGGGAAAAATAAAAGGGAGAAGGTAGCATCAAAATCAGTTAGTCCACTAACCAATTAGGAACCTCTGAGTCATAAATGATTTCCTACTGTCAGATTTCACTTTTACATCAAAGCTACCTCAGAAATATAAAAAATGAACAAGAAATAAATAAGAAATTTTAAGGTATTAAGAGATATGGAGGATCAAATGTCTAATAGGAGTTCAAGAAGGAAAAAGCAAATAGAGATAGCATTTAAAGAGATGATGCCTATGACTTTTTCAGGAATTATTTTTAAAAATGCAAAGCTACATATACATGAACCATAATGTATCCGAAGCAGAATAAACTCAATCTGTCTAGGACCAATACATAGTAATGTAACTGTGAAACATCAAGGAGAAGATTTTAAAAGAAGTTATTTAAAAGGGACAGATCACATGCAAAGGAATGATAAGTGACAAGAAACTTTATTCACAACAAAAGAATGTTGAAGACATTGAAATAATATTGTCAATATGTCAAAAAAGAAAAGAAAAAAAAACCTGGCAACAAATTATGTACGTAGCAGAATAATGCATCAAGGAAAAGCACAAAAACATTAAAAACATTAATAAACAAAAACTGAACCATGCCAACAAGAAACCTATTTAAAAGAGTTCCTAAAGAATATATTTCAGCAAAGTATTATATTATAAGAATGCTGAGCAAATAAAATGGTAAACATCTATGCAAATCCAAATAAAGGTTGCATGTATAAAACAAAAATGATAATATCTAATTTGTGGGCTCAAAATAAAGGACAGAACAAAAATAATGAATAGTCATAATAAGACTGTGAACCAGGAGAAGGCTGAATGAAGCATAAGTATACCAAGTCCTTACATTGTCTAAAAGGACAGGTTAAAATATTGTTTGGTTTTAAACATTTTAAAGTGACATATCCACAATCCTCTGAAAGAATTCAGAAAGGAATTTTTTAAAAATTTCATTCAATCAAAGAAAAGCCAGGAAAACATATTTTAAAATATTCAAATAGAAATAAAAATTAAGACAGTAAAAACAGATCCAAATATATCAATATTCACAGCAATTATAAATCTGCTATTTAAAAGATAGATTATCAGCCTAAAACATGAGAAATACAACCTCTACAGAGTTTTCATTCAAATTGCATGAGGTCTTAGTTAACATAGCAAAAAGAAAAATAAAATTAGTTAATGAATTGATCACATGAGAACTGGAAGGAATACAAGTGATATTACTTGCACAGAAAATGCAAAAATCCATAAAAATTTAAAATATACTAACTTAAGTTAAAGAAAGATTTAAAATAAACAAGAGACTAAAAGGTATAAACAAAGATTTATAAATTCCACACTAAAAAATTTTCCTCAAAATCTACCAAAAAGAAATTACAAAGATGAACCAGACTGCAAAGATATTTCAATACACTAGAGGATAAATAAAACACTAGAAATTTCACAGAATAGCATGTGTATAAGGCAAAATAAACAAAATGCTGCTCAATACAATGAGTAACTAGATAAATGCAAATTAATACCATAACAAGACAGCATTTATACACAACAGACTTGGAAAAAGCAGACACGTGACATACCAACATAGGAGGGATTATGAATCAATGGAAACTTTTATATATTAATGATTTGAGTATGAATTTATAAACCCACTTTGAAAAGAATCTGGCATCGTYGTACAAAGCTGAACATTTTCATATTCAACAACCAACCAAACAATTCAACTGCTAGGTATGTTTCCTAGAGGAGTTTGCATATGTACAATAATGTTTAGAGAAGCACTATTTATAATAGCAAAACCTAGAAATAACCCAAGTGCTTCATCAATAGGAGATGACACTATATGAGTATATTTATGTAGTCAGACATCAAATAAGACAACACATAACTTATGAAAACACATGCATATAACATTACAATAAAAAAAAAACCAAAAGAATGAAAAACACAGAATTCAGGAAAATAATTTACTGAGGGAAAGGGGAATGATATGGGATAGAAAAACCAATGGAAATTATTGATGTTATTCTGGTGCTGGGGCTCTTCACTGTTCATTATATCACTCTGCTCTATAACTTAATATTACATATTTTAAAAATAAACATAATAACTTACTTTAAAATGTAATATAACATCCCCACTCTCCCACATCCCCCAAAATCCCAACTCTTTGCCAATATACATAGTGATAGAACTGGGTCTGGAAGTCAACTCCCAGCTCAGTTCTTTCCATTACACTTAGAATAGAAACTAGTCACACCCCCATGGATCAAAGACCAAATTCCCAGGCATGATATTTAAGGGCATTCACAATTTGAATTTCTCTATAGTTTTTTCTGCCATTTGCATATGTATGTATTGTAGACCATATTAAATCAGTTTTTTAAGTGCTAAATTATTTTTAATATCTTTATGCATATGTCATTCTTTTGTTCTGGAATGTTCCCCCTCACCAATTTATTCCATATTTCAACAGATAGCAACTCTAAGAATCTTTCAGAGATTCCAGGCAGTCTCCTAAATAATGCTACTGCACTTCACACCCAGTGAATTTTCTTATCTGTTTACCTGTTTATCTGTTTCCTAAAATCGATTATTTAGCAGAAAATGCCCAATACTGCTCGACATCTACTCTTTTTTTCTCATGTTAACCAACTTTCAATTCTTTTCAGTGTGGAATGTGTCCAGCTAAAAAACAATTATTCAGCCTTCCTTATAGCCAAGATAATCATGTGAACCAGTTCTGGCCAAAGACAAAAAACTAACATCTATAAGGAGAACCTTCAGGAATGTAATTGTTTTCTATTTGTTTGACTTTTGTATTAATAAACACATACACACACACACACACACACACACACACACACACACATATCTTTTGCCCCTTGTCTTGCCTGGAAAAAATGTCCTACCTACATGACAAGCTACATGAGGATGGAAGAAATAGTGAATGAGGAAAAGAGAAGTATGAGCTCTTAATAACATTGTGAAGTCCCTATACCAACCCTAGGCTATATACCTCTGGACTTTTTTGTGTGACAAGTAAACCTGATACTTGTTTAAAAGGTTCTAACTAGGCTTCTGTTCCATGCAGCTGAACACAACTATAATTGATAGCTACTGTAATCACTGAGAGGGCACAGTTTGCCTGATTCTCCTTTGCTTCCCTCAAATCTAGGACACTGCCTATCCAGTAATAGGTATTCAACAAATATATGGCACAATATTCAATAAATAATGGAATAAATGGAAAAATTTTAAAAATCTGCATTTAAAGTATTCTGTTTAGGTAGTTTAAAAACATTTCAATTTAAACAATTCTGATTCAAAGACAAACAATAGTTATACCAACCAAAACTAAGACTAAGTCCTTTTAAAACATTTGTATCAATGTTAATTACCATCAAGAGGTAAACGCAGACATTTGAAAATGTTCTAAGTTCTTAACTATCCTTAAACTCTTGTTTCTCTAATATTTCTAATATATTCTAAAATATGTTAAATATAAAAATAAATGTTTAGTAGTTATCACCACTAATCCAATATGTTTTAAAAATATGCTTTAAAATATGTAGGAATCTTTAAAAATATGTTGAATTACATAAAAATTAACATTTAAAAAATTCAACATATATACTTTAAAAATTTCCTTTCTAGTATATCTAGCAATTAATAACTTTTAAAGGAGAGAATTACAAATAGTTTTTCTCTCCAAAATTGTTCCTGAATTTCTCCAACTGCAGAATGAGAAATTCTTAACCTATCTGTGGTTGTTTTAAGAAATGAACAGGGTAATTCGTACAAATAGTCTTTAACTCAGAATAGTTTGACTTATGACTTTTTTTGTTTATAATGGTACAAAAGCAATATGCTTTTTTATAGAAATTATTCTTCCAATTTTCACCTTTTCCCAGGCTAATGATATGTAATATGATATACTAGTGAGATACTGGGCAGCAGCAGCAGAGAGGTGCAGTTTCTAGTCAGCCATGTGATCTGGAGGGCAAACAACTGTTTTTTATAGTCTACAGTGTTGCTAAGCTATGATGTTTGGTAGGTTAATTATTTAATTAAATTTCAACTTAATGATATTTACAATTTATGCTAGGTTTATCAGAATGCAACCTACTATAAGTCAGTGAGCATCTCTATACAATACAACACTTATTAACACAGTGAGTATAATGTAGGCAATGCTTATAAAAAGTACCACTTTAAAGATTTTGTCAGTACAATCAGAAAGAAGGCTAATTTTCACAAGAAATTACAGTATACATAATTTTTAATAATTTGGACCACCTACTACAAAACGAAACCAATTGTCTTCCTTATTTCCCCAAAGCTTCTATGGTCAGTCTTCAAAAATGTTATGTCATCCTATTCTTGTAGTAGGTTAACCTTTTGTGATTAAATTAGGCACTCCAACTTCCTGTATGTAATGATTTAGATCTTAGCTGTCCCCCCAAAGCTCATGTTTAAAACAACTCATAGAAATTTATAAGTGAAATTATTGGGTTAGAAGAGTCTTAACCTATATCAATGAATTAACACTTGAATGGATTAATTGGGTGGTAATTATAGGCAGGTAGGTGTGGCTGGAAGAGGTGGGTCACTAGAGGCATGCTTCTGGGTTTTATATTCTGTCCTTGGTGAGCCACAGCTCTTTATGCCTACTGATTGCCATGTCCTGAACTGCCTTCCTCCACCATGCCCTTCTGTCCTGACGTTCTGCCTTACCTTGAGCCCAGAGCAACGGAGATGATCATCTACGTACTGAGATCTCTGAAACCCTGAGCCCCAAATAAATGTTTCTCCTCTAAAATTATTCTTGTCGGGTCTTTTGGTCATCAGTGGTGAAAAAACTAACAACACACTGTTGTGTTTTGACACACAGAGAAAATTACCCCCAGAAATTTATTTCATGATGTTGAAGGGATTTAGAAACCTCTTTTAAAACTTATGATCTAGGGGCTGAGGTTGTGGTTCAGTGGTAGAGTGTTTGCCTTGCATGTGTGAAGCACTAGGTTCAGCACCACATAAAAAATAAATAAATAAAATAAAGGTATTGTGTCATGTACAACTAAAAAAAAGTTTTTAAAAAATTATGATCTAGAGGGGCGGGCGGGCAGGCAGGAAAAAAATTTTTGATCTAGCACAGAATTGAAACATACACTTTCTATGTGAATTGGGAAGAAGTAACAGAAATCCTTTGTACAAATCTATTTTGGGCAAATCTAAAGTACAAGAGACTTTGAATAATCTCTTTCTTAAATAGTTTTTCCAAGGATTTTGACTTATCTTCTTTCATTTGCTCCTTGTAATTACCATGTTAAGGTAATAATTGGCAAAGCCCCAATTATTCCTTGCTCCTACTGGCTCCTTATTGTACCATGGGGAATAGTTGGGGCTTTCCAAATACAACCTCTATACATGTGAAATACCAATTTCTGGAGAAGCCAAGTTACTTCCACAAGAAACAATCCATTTTTGTTATAAATCATTGGTTTTTCATTTTAAAACATTTTATTATTTGATAGGATTAAGCTGAACAAACTAACTCTAAACCTCAGTTTAATGTATTAGAAATTATGTTTCATTATCTTATTATGAATTCTGAAATTAAGAATGCACTTAAAAATGTGAAAATATACCTTTTGCCAGACTTTACAGAGAAAATAATTCCAAATGTTTTACCAGTGTAAAGTGTTGAGAAGCCTGCAACTTAACTTTCAAATGGTTAAACACTATTACACACACACATACACACACACACACACATCTAATATAGGAAGAGAAATAAGGCAAATGTATACATATTAAATATAATTTTCCTTTTTACTATAAATCTGAAGTTTTTTGAGAATAAACATTGATTAGAGGAAGAGCAATCTAAATAAATAAATAAATAAATAAAACCAAACAGACCTTTTTTTGTCCTTACCTTGAAGTCGCTCATCAGAGAATATTTTGTTTGTTTGGTTCCAGGTGCTATCTATAAAGATAATTTTTTTCAGTATTGTGTTTTTGCACATACTATCATTCAAATCATAGTCCTCCTGATCTTCAATTTTTTTTCGTTTAAAAGATGGCTTGTCAAGGYCATCATTTTGGCCTCTACTTTTATTTTGACTCCTTTTTTGCAAGTGAAAAGAAATATCTTTTATTGAGATAGACTGAGGTCCAGGAAAAACAAGTACAACCTAAAACAAACAAACAAACAAACTGAGGTTAGTTGTATGCTATGATCAAAATAAGTTCAAAAGTGACCTAAAACTTTAGGGAGAAAATATGTTGAATATGTGAGAAACAAGTATTAGGTTAGTCCTACTGTACATGTTTCTTCAATATTCATGATAAAGTTTTTGGCTCTTCCCTAATAATCTAAAATCATAATAACCATCTTAAAGTATTACTTCAAAATAATTTATTCACTGATTGAGAGGGCAAAGTTAAATGTATCTTGAATTAAAAATCAAAAGTACACTTCAAAGATAAAAAGGCAAAGTGCATGATACTTTATAAAAGAACCACTGACTACTGCTCAATGATTAAATACTATTTTCACCTACATGATAAGCAAAGATACATATAYAGTGAATGCTGGCAAGGAATTGATGTAATGGGTCTTTATAGCCATTATTAATGGCAGGGTTCAATAGTATAATGCAATGTGTTCCATTTAATCAACATAAGTGTATCTAGCTGACCAGAGAAGTAAAAAAAATATATTCCTAGATCTAAAACTCAGATATTATTTACAAACACAACTTAGTAAATAAATTCAATCAAACATATATAAATTGATAAGAAAACCAAGTTCTTTCTGAAACAAATGAATATATAAATTTTTTATTTTGTTTCTAGGTTAGCCACACTCACAATGGCCCCCAGGAAACCTAAAGAGTTTAATGCTTCTTTCAAAAGTACCCGAGGCCTAATTTCTGAGACCTATTTATTATAAGACCAGTAATATCCCACTGGTATAATAATATAAACTATGTGAAAACCAACTGAGAATCTAGACATGAACAAGGAAAACATCTGAGCAGTCAAGACACATTATAAAAGCTACGTACTAAGCTTTTATTTTAGAAAAAATTCATGAAAAACCTTCTATCTGTTTCTTTTCTTCTTACAGAGATACTCCAACAACATTTCTAATTTGGTATCCCAGTCTGCCTCAAATTAGACCAGCTACATGCTGTATTAGAGATGGGAAAATGATGAGAGAAGAAAGAAAAAGCAGGCATTGTAATACTGGCAAAGAGTAAAACCCTAAAGAAATAAGATAGAAAAACTATGAAAATTTAGCAGAAGATTCCAAAAAGCATAATAGTTTAGGATCACTTGACCTGTGAAGACACCAATGAAGTAAACTACATGTTGTTTAATGTTATATGAGCATAACACTAGATTATTAAGAAAAATATTAAATTGTGTCTAAGTTAGTTCAGAAAAGCAACTGGTGTTTAAAATTAATTTTTATATTTAATATGAAGAGTTATAAAAAATAAGCTTCCTACTTCATGGTCTTTTTCCTCATACTCTGGAATACAAGGGTATGTGTAAATGTTCACAAATTCAGGTGCTAAGAGTTTTGCATGTATAGCAGTACTTTTGCCATCTGTTTCATTTGGATGTTTAATGATGTCGATCTTCAATGGAAGCTAAAGTGAAGGGAAAAAAAGACAAATGAACAAAACAAATATAAAAATTATAATTTTTATGTTAATAAAAGTCTATAAAACATCAAGTTCACACTAAGTTTCTATAATCATATTTTTCTAAATCAGAATATTAAGAATGGTGAAAGTCAAAACAAAACAAACCCAAATTTCTTCCTCAATATTTTCAATCATATTATAGATAAAATATTTTCAACTCATTTAACATACAATCTGCTCCTAAAGCAAAGATCTAGTGTTATTTTACTTAATTTATATGGGTAATGAGTCCAATTCCTCACATTTCAGTATTTTTGCCAAGAATATTTTTTATAATTCCTATAAACTCTAGGTTTGTTTATTTTATGCTATTTTTAAAGGAAATGCAATGTTGAACAATACTTAAGATTTAAAAATCAAGCTGAAATTCTGTTCCTTACAGATCCTCTCAAGCCAAAGGTATCCTCTGTTTTGAATGTTGTGATTTTCAGCAGTACATTTCAACAGCATAAATAACTATCAATTAGAAAAAGAGTAATAGGTCTAAGAGATGTAATCTTTCTATCACAAATAACTTTCTTCAAAATCACCTTGCCCACCTTCCCCTACTATTCATTTTGTTATGGATTGCACCTGTCTTTAGACAAAAATATACTCTCTCGGATTTCTTGAGTTAGAGATTTTCATTATTTTACTTTGATTTATTTGGTTTAGCTCTCTTTATAATGCCTATACACATCATGTATTCAGCCATAACCATGAAAATGTAAGCTACATCTTCCCCATTATGTATATAAGAACCCCTCCTGAGAAGGGTTCTTTACTTCAGAATTAAATGACGTTTTAAAATGCTATTTAAAAACATATTTCCTACCATCTTCAAGTGCCCATTCCAWACTAAACAGGCAATATTCTAGGAATTTGCTCTGAAATCAAAACTATTTTTCTTGTATTTTAAACTACACATTTTAAACAAAGTTACAATTCTAATAATTTTAATGTATATTATACCCGTGAAGCAATTGCCACAATCAAGATAATGATTTGCCACTACCAAAAGTCTTCTGTTTCTCCTCCTCTTCCTCAACTACTACACTCCCAATCCTCAGGTAATCTAGATGTCACTTTAGATTGGTTTACTTTTCTATAATTTTGAAATAAATTAAATCATACAGTAAGCATTCCTCATCTTCCCTCTTTAACTGAGAATAATTATTTTGAGATTCATCCATATTGTTGTATCGTTATTTCCAAAGCTTTTTAAAAGGAGCAGTTGCTGTACACTACAAGGTAGGCCCAATTTCATACATAACTTTTTTTTCTGGACAATTATGTAAATAACATACACCAAAAAGATCTTAGCCCATAAATAAGTACTTTAAATAGTTTTCAGTTAGGGTTTCAAACACCATTATCTGCTACCCTTCCCACTTAGGCCCAGGGATCAATTATACATTAGAGTCAAATGCTTCAATCATCAAACCAACTTCTATTTATAGAAAATTTACCATTTAAGTAGGCAGTTCACAAATGATTTTACATCAGTCTACTTCTGGCTGAGCTCTAAATCAGACTTTCCTCATGAAGCTCAGTCTCAGCTGACACTATATTCCCTCTCCCCAGGATCTCTGAGTACCAGGTCAGCATTGCCTTAACCCAGGTAAAGTAGGAAGAGAATAGAAAGGAAAAAAATAGAAAGCAGATCATAACAAAGTATTTTTAATTCTATTATTAATAAAACTGACTTCATTATATGATTGATGAGTTGAATATTCCAAAAGCTATCACCAATATTTTTAACCACCTGGCTATCTTGAAGGATATAATTTATAGCAAGGATACATGACTCTCATTAATGAATTTTGAAAATCTTGTGCCTAACCTAATTTATAAATTACACAATAAAAAGGGAAAGTCTTTGGACTAAATTATCTAAATATCAGATAATATGCAAAATTTGTGACCCCAGAACCCAATCCAGGTACTGTTAGTTCTCAATGAATAAGTCTAAGATTTCTGATGCTATGAACAGCACAAAAACAGATCAAATTATAGAAATAGATGTTTTAATTCTATATTCACATATTTTATAGGATGATATGTCTTAAATAATTGAGGGGACAGTGTTAACAATAACTGTGTTTACCAGAGGGCAGTTTGAATTTTCATTAAAAAAATTTGTTTTCATAATGACATTATTTATCCAGCTTATCAATTACATTAGAACCAGCACATATGAAACATCTTTTGAAAATCTATTTTTCTACTTTCAAACAATTAAATATCTTACCAACCTTCACAAGTGGAATCTGTTCAATAGGTACATTTTCAACTGGGACATAACATGTATAGCAGTAAAACATCCTTGAACCACCACATTTGAGACACTTTGATCTCCCACTTTGCTGAGCTTTTTGAAGAACTTCTTGAGATGCTAAGCATAAGTTTTGAAGGGGATTTTCTGAAGCTATGGAAGTAGTTTTGTTTGTTTCCACAAATTTTGAATTATTTTCTTCGATTTCTTTAAGAAATACAGATGGATTGAGCGACATTCTTCCTTCAAACTGAAGTTTAACATCTACTTYTAAAACACATTATAGGTGCACTGTGAATAAAAAAGTTGAAAGGTACAAGTTAAAGCAGGAAACATTTTACAGTTTCCACAAAGAAATTTAATTCATAATTGTATGCTGGTGTTAGTACTCATCAAGAAATATTAACAAGTTTTAAAGCCACTGAATTGGCATACTTTAAAACATAAAATTAAAAAGCAATAAACTCACAATAGCAAATTACAGTTATATCTTTGGGTCCTTCCTTCCATAAAAATAGAAAGATGCTATCCTAAAAAAAATATTTCAAATATAAAGTTTAGGCACTGACAATCAATTTTCTAGCTCCCTTTTTGTTCTAGAGATGCAAATTTTGTTTTATAAATATTAAGAATACTCTACACTGACCTTGAATTGACACTGCATAATATCATGTCCCTAAATCTCATCCTGGACTCTAWTGAAAATATCAGTAAAATTTTGTTGGGTATTATAATATAATTAAGTATGTGTGTGTGTGTATATACAAATATTTCTATCCACAATTCCTGGCTCGTAACTCTTGCCTCTTCTTCCCAGCAGATCACAGAAACTCTAATCTTAAATTTTCATACCCACCTTGTCTGATTGTGAATGATAAGACTCAGGATTTCAGAAAGGATTCTAACCCATGGAGGAAGGAAGGCCAAAGAATCTAATAGAAGGACTTACTGAGTTCCCCATCCAGTCTATTAGCAATTATGCCTATACAATATAGTTTCCTTAAAAATCCAAAGACACAGGGTTTGGGAGTTTCTGGATAGCTAAACACTTGGAGGTTCCCAGAAAGGTGAATGAGGACTCATCCACAAGCCAGGAGGCCCACCTCAGCTCTTCCACATGGATAAAGATCTTGCATTCGGAACTACTCAGACCTTTCCCTGTGTATCACTTCATTGGCTGCATGTTTGTATACTTTAAAATATCCTTTATTTAAAAAACAGCAAAAGTTAGTAGAGTATTTCCATGAATTCTGTGAACTATTCTAATAAATTAATCARGTTTGAGAAGGGGGCTGTGAGAATCTCAATTTATAGTTGGTGAGTAAGAAGTTCTGGGGCCCAAACTTGCAACTGTGTCTGAAACTGGATCTTCCTTGGAAATAGAGCCCTCACTCTGTGGAATCTGACATTATCTTCAAGTAGTGTTCAACTGAATTAAATTAGAGGATAGCCAGTTAGTATCCACTGCAGACTTGCTGGATGGGGAGAAATCTCTACACCTTTTGAGGTCACAGAAGTTTTCTGTTTTGATTATGGTGTGAGAGTAGAGGAAAAACAAGAAAGACACTTTGTATTTCCTAATACATATATGTTCTAAAAGATACATTCCTCTACAACTTAAAGCACATATAACATATCCACTATACAAAGAGACATCTATTATCAGTTATCATTTATAAAATATTCTATAAGGTGAAATAAATTATATTAAAATTTAAACTTTACAGAGTACCATTTGATTAACATTGTCCACTCAAAGAATTTCTACTGTTTTCTAAAATTATACCGCATTCAAATTCCTGAGTACCAAAGATAAAATAGTAAAATAAGTTTTCCACTTGTGTATTCTTCACAGAAGCATGATGGCTGCCAAAATTGCATACCCTGGATGCAAGATATCTTTCAAAGGAGAAGAAAGACTGGGCCTTGTTAATTTGATATGCATTCCACAGTTGTAAAATGATTCTCTTACTATAAAGCTATATGGCATTGTGGTGTTTATGAAACTCCAGGCACTGCTGAGTACAAATAGTAACAGGAGAAATGTTATAATTCCCAACAGGAAACTAGCTGTGGCCTCCTAAAGAAAATGTGAACAAGAAGTCCAGAGAAGAATAAATATACAACATAATTTGCCATCAAGAAGTATGTGACACTAATTTTAATTATTCATTAAGAGTTTCTTTTTAGATTGTAAATCCCAGTGAGCTTGAGACTCAAAGGTATGTTAAAAAAAAAAAAGAAAGAAAGAATGCTGGTAGTCACTGAAGGAAAAGGAAAACGCACTTGCCAAATTTATCCCAGGGAAAAACCAAAATATGCATAGTAGATATTTCTGCCATGTACTGATAGGCACAGATTTATATCTGAGGTTGCTCAGCAAAGGTGATTTTTAGAATGAGCAAATAGAATACATCTACTTCGAATGCCACTCCAAATCACCTTCCTAAATAAAAGTGGCTTTTTAGTGAACATGCTTTAACAACTAGTAGAATATGAGATATTTAGACACTACCCTTTTCTTTTTTGAGTCTCAGAAGAAATTAGCAATCACATGAAAATCTTGTTTATCTCTAGAAAATGTACATATGGAACTAAATATTTTCTATACATTTTCAGATGTCTTACAGAGTCCACCTACAGATTAAGGGAAGAAAACAAAACAAAACAAAAAACCCCTTAAGATAAAAAACTTTAATCTAAGGACAAAAGCAGCATTAAAAGTTTGGGGAGAGATCCTCTAAGTCCCCAGAAATGAGAACTACAGTCAGCCAACAAAGTTTCAATAATCACAAGCTATCCAGTACAGCCTTGCTGCATTCAGGATGCTAATTATGTTTTGTCTACACCCTGTCAGTCTGGGTTTGTTCTGGTGTCACCTGAGGTACCTTCTGAAAAGCATTTAAGACTAAGCATTCTGAGTTATCCAAATCAAGGCCTTACCAAAAAAAAAAAAAAAAAAGGGACTGGACTAATTCTGGGTATACATGTGCACATGTGCTGTCAAACAGCTTGGCCCAGACATAGTGGGGTTGAAGAATCCAATTCCTGTGGATGCTATGAAGTTCAACATAATTGCCCCATATTCAACAAAAAATGATTTGCAGATATTCCAGAGCTCACAATGTACACTCTCTTGAGATGTCTCAGAAATATAACCCTGAATGTCACTAACTTTCCACCCACATAACCAAGTAGATATTATGGTTATCTCTACAAAATGTTTTTTTTTTTCTCTCTCTCTACAAAAATCAAACAACAGAAATATCTGAGATAGTGAAAGGAAAATATTTTTGGCTCTTTCCAGTGTCTCATCAACACACTCTCATCTGTGGCTGAAGTAGCCACATAAAAAAAAGGCTAAGAGGTTGTAAATCATGAAGAGCTTCCTCCAAAGGTCTCTGAAACCATATGATTGGAAATATACTCTGACCTAGCCAGTAGTCTACTTTAAATGTGTTCAAATAGTTTGTTGCAAACATTACTATTCAAAACCTTCAAAACAAACTTGTTAATATCAAATATATTTGGAGAAATGTAACTGGAGTTGTGGAGATTAAAGATAAAACATAATGAGTATTCCTAAGAAACTAACAAATACCTGATGGTATATCCACCATTCTGTAACTCAAGCTGAAAAAAGGAATGTTTTCACTCCTCCTTTTATTTCCCAAAAAAACTAATTAAACTCACCAAATTGCACCATTTCTACCTTTCACATAACTTTCTATTTTCAGACTCAAAGTCAGGACACTAATTCAGTTTCTTATCAAGTTATATGTGAGGTAGGGCAATCTCTTACACCTGTTTACCTCTTAAAACTTATAATTAGTTCCACATATTTGACACAGAAAAATGTACTTAATTTAGAAGCAACCTTTCAGAGAAGATTCACTCCTAACATTCAACTCTGCAAAAGCAGAATTCTTTCCTGATCTCAGATATTCCTGATTCTTATGTAACAGGAGATAATCAACAAATATTTGTTAACTCAATCAAAACCATTCTGAGAAAAAGGTATACGATATGCATCTCATCTCATTACTGAATTACCTGACAAACTACCTCTGAAAGCCATCTGCAGCTTGTACAAGCAGCAGCCTGGCAACTTTTTTCCCCACCCCCTCCCCCCCACACACAAAATAATAATGTTAAAAACTCCTCGCTTTTCCATTATTCTAAGCTGACTGGCTTCCCAACAGAACATTATCTAAAATTCTCCTGTCCTTTGTTGTGGACCATTTCCGTACTGGATAAAACTCACTTCAAAAAAAAATTTTTTTCTGGAGTATTTTCAAGAACTGGTCACATAATATGTACAAGTTCAACATTTTTTTTTTTTTTAATCCAAGATACCACGTTTTTTTATACAGGACTAATGGCTCCTTACACAGCATCCAACATACAGTAGGCACACTGTTTTAAGTTTTTCAAAGTGGGGTCCAATCATAAATAGTTCTTACATGTTGCTATCTTAAGTACTGATTTTATCATTCAACTCCATAGAAATGGCACGTGAAAACAGACTTCCTTATTTGCCTTACATACCCAAAAAAGAATTTAGACAAATGAATCAAACGCCTCCCTATGCTTATTATGTAACCATAATCTTAAGATTTTAAATACACTGTATGACGTAAGTATCCCTGTGTCTGTTTTAAGCTTCTTCCACGACTACCAATTTCCCGCAAACCCCTCCAGAAACTAAAAATTAAAGGATGGGGTCCTTAGAGGACTGACTTTGCCATGATGGACATGATAGAGGGAAAGAAAGCATCGTGTTGGGGGAGGATTTTTTGTTTTGTTCTGCGGAAAAATTGGGAAGCCTTTTTTCCCAAAGGTCCCTCAAGACTCTCAAGCGCCCGCGCAGGGACCAAAGTCCTCCTCACAGGCGACACCCAGCACAACCTCTGCGAGGGTCCTGACAAGGAAGGTTCACTTCCCACGGCCGCAAGGCTCAGGCCATACCACTAGTCTCTAGACACGCACAGAGACCAGCACCGGGAGAGCAGAGGGATGCACACCTGCACAACCCGCGAGTCCTCTCACGGCTCCACGCGTCTTCCGCTCCGCCCAAGGCCGAGGCGCGCTCCGGGCAGTGATCCCGCGCGGACCCAGCGGAGGGCTTTCCAGGAGACACCAGAGGGCGGAGCCAAGCCGTTGCTGGAGCTGAGCGCCACGCAGGCCCCAGAGCGGAGGTACCTACCGCGCCGAGAGCCAGGCGGAGTTGGACGGGAAATCCCGCCCAGTCACTCAAGCCTCTCAAGGCGGCGTAACTTTTGTTCCGGGAGACTCCAGCCGAGAACTAGGCCGGGACATCCGCGGCCTGGTCTCGGAATCGCCAGACTCACACAGTTTCCTTCTGAGTCTGGGCGGTGCCACAAAACTGGAGAAGTTCTCGAAGTATACATTCAAGCCTTAGTTGCAGTGAGTTGTAAAGAAATGCTGATCCCCAAGAGCACTTTCCACTTTATCAATCCCCAGAACATTTTACTCATGAGAATTTAGTTCAATGACTTTTCTGTGACTGTATCAAGATAACATTTCGTCTGCTGAATAGTTATTAGAAAAAGTTTGTATATTGATGAATTGGCTTGCATAAAAACATGTAAACAGAGTTGGTACTACTTCGCCTTTTTCGGATTTGAAGTTAATATGTTATTAAACCATTTTTCAATGCCCCACATTAAAGAAATCCTAACTGAAGAAGTGCGTGTTGCCGATTGTAAGATTCAGAAGCACAATAGTCAAATATTGAGCAATGTATTTATTAAGTAGTATACTATGAATTGAGCAAGTCAGAGCTAAGGGACAGAGCTTTGCCCTGGATATGCTGCATATGTTTACGATGTAAAGTATGAGTTGTACAGAAAATACAATATGATAGGGATTTCAGAAAAGCTCAGGATAGGGTAGTCAATGAAGGCTCATTGATTGGATTTGGGTAAGGCTTCAAAGAATGGTTATTATTTAGAGCACTGTTTTCCAGCTGGAAAGGGGATTGTATAGGACCCATTGGTACAGGTCTTGACACATTTGTAATAAAGAAAATCTCTTTCGCTTTTTAAATAATTGAATAATAAAACAGAGTAGAAATGTCAGTGCATGGAACTTAGTAAAGTATTGCTTTATAGAGCCATATATATACACACACTAGGTTGTTTATATAAATAAAGTGTATTTCTTGTTGTATAGTATCTGAAGAGTTTGAAAGCCACTAATTTAGGGAGAAAGATAAACTTTCTGGTTAGAGAAAGCAGCAATGGTGAAAAGTCTGTAAGCCAGGAATAAATAATTCACAAGTATTTTCTTTTTGAAAACAACTCTTACCAAAGCAGTTCAGTTACACAGATTAAAAAGAAAATGATACTATTTACGAGAATACTGGGTTGCTATGTCTGTGTATAAATTACTGGAAAATATAGTAGCCTAAAACAATCATTTTATTATTTTCATAAATTACATAGTCAGTGGAGCACAGTGGATCAACTTTTCTCTGGTAACTCAACTGAGAAGTCTGCATACTAGCAGAGGTCCTGTTTATAACATGTGCTGGGCTTAATAGGCCCAGAGCTTCCTTCCTCCCACCCTTCTTACCTTACCTTACCTTACCTTACCTTACCTTACCTTACCTTACCTTACCTTCTTTTTCCTTCCTTTCCTTTCTTTCCTTCTTACCCTCAAAAAGTAACTTACCCTCAAAAAGTAACAGAAATGAGTCCTTTCCAGATTATAGGGGAGAAGACAAAACTCACTTCTCAAAAGATGGTCAAAGAATTTGTGGCCAATTTTTGTTAAACCAACATACTGAATTTACTGCTATAACAAAAGACCCCAAAATATCAGAGGCTCAATATTTAAAAAAAAAAAAATGTCTAACAAAGGAGCCATTGTGAATGTCCCTAGTCAGATGAACTGTTATACTCAAGGACACAGGCTTTACTTTTTTTTTTCTTTTCTTTTTCTTTTGGTAGAGAAGTTCTGCTGCCTCCTAGGATTTGGGGTCCATAGCTTGTTGATAAGAATGCAAGCCAGGTGTGGTAATAGGCACCTATATTCCCAGCTGCTCCCAAGGTACTTGGGAGGCTGAGGCAGGACAGTTGTAAATTCAAGGCCAGCATGGTCAACTTAGTGAGACCCTGTCTCAAAATAAAATAAAATTTTAAAGGATGGGTATGTTGCTCAGTGATACAGCATGGGCCTAGCAAGCATCCTTGGTTTAATACCCAGTATCATAAAGTCGGGGTAGGAGGAAATGAAGAAAATAAGAAAGAGGAATGATGAAAATTATCGAAGTTAGCCCTAAAAATTGGATATATCAATTTGGCCAGAATTTGATCCCACTGCCCCGACATGAAATACAAGAGAGACTGGGAAATATAGAAAAACATAAATATTGATAATTACTAATAGTTCGCCTCTGTGTTCTCAGTTATTATCTCCAAAGGAAATTGCTTTGAAATATTTTGAATAATTCTTCTGATATTACTCCACCTGTCTTAATATACTGCAGTTTCTTGTTTTTCAAATTTAGACATTATCCATTGTCTTTCTCCTGTGGAGGAAAATGATATAGTTAGTTCTTTCTTGACATCACCCCCAAGTAATGAACAGTCACTCTCTCCCTATCCACACATTCTTCCTGTCCCCTCATCTCAAAATATTGATTGATAATTTTTTGTTAAGTAAAAAGTTAGTGTTACCTCTATTATGTTTAAGTAAATATCCAATCCAATGTCACATAGTATACTGTGATCACATTGACTTTTAATATAAGATTTTACTTTCCTTAATAATTTACTTTTTATGTAATTATTAGTAATCTTTCCTCAAACACAGCCAAAATGATAAAGCACAATACATCTCTATAGCAGATATTTTTTTCCTTACATCTATTCATTGTACAGTATTACCACCACTAGTCCATTGAAGATGAGTAACTTTCACTAATCCAAAACTACTGTCCTCTGTTGGATCACTYGTACCTTTTTTTCTTTGTTTAAACATTTGTTTTTGTGAAAAACATTCTCTAGTACATTTCTGAAATAATGTAATGGGAGTGTAGGAGACAAAGTTATGTACCCACCCCCTTCCAATAAGTTCAAATCCTAGTTTTTATACCCTTGGCAAGAGGAACTTTATCAGTAATTACATTAAAGATACTGAAATAGAAAAACTACCTTGGATTACCAGGCTTTAAAGGAGGGAGAAAGATGTCAGAGATGGGAAAATATTCTACACTCTTGGCTTTAAAGTTAGAAGAAACAATTGTGAGCAAAGGAATGTAGGTAATGCCTAAAAGCTGGAAAAGAGAAGGAAACAGATTCTGCCCTAGATCCTCTAGAAGGAGCATAGCCCTGCTGACCCATTTCAGACTTCAGACCTCTGAAACTAAATTAAATTCATATTGTTTAAACTACTAAGTTTAAAGCAATTTATTATAGCAGTTATATGAAACTAATATGGGGAAAGTGATGATTTTTTTAGTACTTTGCAGATGTGAAAAATACCACAAACATAAATATTATCTGTCTATATTTAAATTTATAGGTTGAAAGTCATTTTCTTGGAATAATCATCTAAAGTCTTCTTCTTTCTGATTCTTGTTTTTCTTAACATGTTTTTTTTTTCCTGGTATCTAGATTCATTTTTTTCCACATGAAGTTTTTGTTGACTATTTAATTTATACCATTATATTCATATTTTATTTTTTTCTTATTCTTTATCCATTTTAACACGCTATTTTGGTATCAGGGTTACATTATCTGTTAGCTCTCTAATCTTAAACACCTTTTTAAAATTTACTTTGTTATCCACATTGTATTTTTCTCAGATTTTATTTTTACTTTTTTATCTTTTGCTTTTATATTTATTCCTAAATATCTAGTAATCTTTGACTTTCTAGTCATATTGAATAATAAGTATTAAAGTGTTTTAGCATTATGTTCATATTAAAGACCAAAGATTAAAGTGGTAATGGAATATTATTGTATCTAAATGGATTGTTACACCAACAACTTCATAATAGTGCAAGGTTTAGCACTGAGAGTTTCTCAAGCATCTGTAGAGGAAAACAACTCAGGAAGATAAAAGGGGAAATCAGTGCATTAAAAATAAATGTGCAGTAGAGAGAAAAGAAATAAGGCCAAAATTTGCTCTTTGAACAGATAGATAAAATTGATACAACTTAAGATAGACTGTCCAGGAAAAATAAAATTCAAACTACTGATATCAGAAATAAAAAGTGAAACATCACCAAAGAACTTACAGAGAGTAAAACATAGAATGTTAAGAAAAGAATATTTGTGACAAAATATTTGACATTTTGCTTTCATGAAAGATACTTTACCAAAACTGATATAAGAAGTAATAGACTATGTGAATTATATTGAAATTCATAAATTGTATCTGTATTTGTCTGCTCAGGTTATGAACTTTTATCATTAGCTCCAATTCTTTACTCAGACTGTCAGAATACCACAAACAAGATGCTTTAAACAATAGAAATTATTATCTTTTAAATATTTTTATTAGTTGTTGATGAATTTTTTAAAATTTATTTATATGTGGTGCTGAGAATCGAACCCAGTGCATCACACATGCTAGACAAGTGCTCTACCACTGAGCCACAACCCCAGCCTCTAGAAATCATTTTATCACATTTCTGGAGGCCAAAAAGATGAAGGTGTCTTCAGGATTGGTTTCTGTTGAGTCCTCTCTTCTTGTCTTAAAGATCACTGATTGCCTTTTCACCATGTCCTTTAATGGTCTCTTCCTTATGTATATGTGGGGTAGGGGAGAAGGAAGGAAGAGAACATGGGTAGGCTCTGGTGTGCCTTCTTATAAGGACAGCAGTTCTATTAGATTAGGGACCCACTCTTGAGAACTCATTTAACTTTATCTCGTCAAAGCCCCATCTTCAGGTTACAATCCCATTGAGGGTTAGAGCTTTAATAAGTAAGTGAATGAAAGATACATTTGAATCCACAACAATATCCTTAATTTAAAAATTTCCCATAATTTCAGGTTAGGTAACATCAACATCAAGGTCCACCAAATATTTAAGGTGGGAAGGAAAAGGTAGTACTCATCTTTCAGATTTCCATATTCTTTTAGAGAATATGGAGGCTTTTCCAATTTTGTTTCTATTTGTTCCTTTATTTTAGGCCAGGACAACCTTTATTGACAGTTCTCATGAGGACATTGTAAGAAAGAAATTTTCAGGCAAATATTTTTATAAATAATGTGGTAGCTTTTATTATTAGCCCCAATTCTCCATTCCTTTTGGATGCATGCCTTTTGTCTTATGACATTGTAGTACCTCCCACCTTCATAAGCAGAATATATTTCCCCATACTTTGGCTCTGGATTTATCCACATGACTTACTATGGCCAATGGGACATTAGCAGATAAGATGCAAAGAGGA